CATGATATGTTGCCACATGTGTGTCAGCTGAGCCCTCTTTGCAAGCCATTCAGCAAATGCTCTGAGGCGTGGCCCGAGAAGGCTTTCAGAGTCCATCATCCCTTGGGCACAAGCACAGTCAGCCCACATGAGTGCGAGCATGGCTGCATTGCTGTAACAGTAGTTGCTTTGATTACCCAATTTTAAGGTGCGGACAAGCTCTCGGCTTGCTGCTGAATGAGCTTGGCGAGGGCGGATCGGCCGAGGCGCTCCTGCCTCATCGTCGTAGCGATGGCCCGGCAGGCCCCGCTGTGGGACAGGCGGGCAAGAATGTTCCACGTTCTGTCTGCCTCCGGTGTCCTCAGGCCCACTTCCAACATCATTGGAACAATCTCGCCTTTGTAGCTCGGGGTCATCGCAGACTTGCGGGCCGCATGGAACCTTTGGGTAGACAGGGGGAGCAGCGCGAGATCCTGAAGCTCCACCAGGAGCTTCATGACATCCGCATATTCCATCGGCTCCCTGTCCTTTTTGACCTCCATCTGCTGCTCCTGGCGATTGTATTGGAGGTAGGGCACCGTCCCATCCGGATTGAGAATGAGCATCCGCTGGGCCTGCTCCTTGCTCTCCTCCGAGGCCGTCACAGCTTCCAGCCTGGTGTGCCAAATCTTCACCCTGCTGAAGCATGGCTGCTCTCTGGGGCAGCGTAAGAGTGGTCGGCTGCTCCTCCTTCATTTTCGCCCAGGTCTCGAGGGTGCGGATCAGGTCCGGGATGATGGAAAGCATTCCCCTGGCCTGGCAGAAGAGAATAAATCCCTTCTCTGACCTGTCGATCGACTGCTGATCCTCGTGGCGTAGCAGCAGTCGCGACATGCTGATGCAAAGGGCTTTCACCTCCTCCTGCTCGGGGAAGGTCTTCTCCTTCTCCTTGCCGGCTTTCGTCTTGTCCTGACTCCACCAGTCCTGGTGGTAGCTCCGTAGCCATTCCCCTTTTCGCGGGAGAAGCGGCGATACTTGTCGCGGCCTTTGCCGTTTCCGGTCTCCTGTTCCCAGCCCTCTTGCTCCTGTCCGCGCTTGTCCCGGCTGGAGGTGTCCATTTCTGGAGTCTCCGCAGGAGCCGAGGGTGCTGACGGGGCCGCTGCTTGCAGCATATCCTGTGCCGCCCGAGCTCCCATGGCAGCCATACCAGGGCTGCGCCCGGAGCGTTGGCTATCATTCCCTTGGAGCAGAGCTGCTTGCTCCTTTGCACTCATCAGGTCTGCCGCCTGCTCCGCATTCATCTCCAGAGCCATTTGCACCAGAGGAGTCCTGTGCGCGGGAAAGCAGAACACAAATACCTGTACGAATGAGGGTCGGGCATGCTGCAACATGTCCGGCTCTGCTGCAATGTTGTGCCTTGAAATCTCGGTGGCACCACTGACAAGGGCTGAAGACAGTAGGCCTCCTTTCTTCGAGCCAACTCGACAGCTTCTGCATGACCGGCTGAAGTGTGACATGTTGCTTGGCAATGTGCCTGCTGAGATATGCAGGACTAGCAAGCCACTGATTGCAAAAAGGGCACGCATGCTGGTCTATGACTCGAACCTTGGCAGCTACCTATTCCCAGTTGTCATGGCACAGATTGCGAATGTCCTGTGGGGTTTGTTGAAACAGTGATGCAAGCGAGCCTGTCTGTTCACTCGGCACACTTTGAGGTACACTCGAATCTATTTGAGGCTTTGCAGCCGGTTCCAGCTGTGTACTGGCAACATTGGACGCCTCAGGTGTGGCTTGCAACAGCAGGGCTTCTGGCGTGCAAAGAGGGCAGCGCTTGCGCTCAAAGTGTTCAAAGAAGGCAGGCCAGGCACTGAAGTGCCAATTGCAGAATTTACAGGTGGGAACACCATCGCGGGCAAACTGCATATAGTCATAGCGCTTTTGCTGTTGTGTGCGTTTGCGTGGCGCGTTACAGGTACCTTGGGATTGTAAGTCTTTATGTTTTTGGGAAATGTGTTGTCTTAGGGATATTCGGGAATCAAAGTAGATGCCACAGTGCGGGCAAGCTTGCTTCGGCAGGGAAGCGCTGACCTCCACTAGTCGCGCTTGAACTTCTTCAACTGGCAAGCTACAGGCACCCTTCTGAAAGGCATAATGATCGCAGGTGCTCTGACTGGCTGCCGAAAGATGCTGCCAGCGCTGTTTCGTCCGGATTGGTTGCAGTGCATTCATGCCGTTTTGCAAGCATTTTTGAAGTCTCGTTTGGGTTCGTTGTGCCACGTCAAGAATAGGATTAGGAATACTCAATCGACTCAAGAAGGTTTCAGTATTTTCTCTGGTAATGAAGACCGGGGCTTTCAGAGCTAGTCGAAGTTGTCGAGCTACGACTTTCCGTAGTTTAGCGGCGCTACTTGGGCTCAGGACAATGCAACCCAATCCGTAGACAAGGCTTGCATATGCACAAGCCTTCCACACTGACACTTTGAGGTCACGAGGGAGTCCTGCACATCTGAGAGAGGGCAGCAGCCTATTGAAAACAATCCAAGATTGCTTTATACGAAACCGAAGAGTAGCATCTTCAACCCGATTATACCCTATTTGGACCCCAAGGTAGGTGTGCTGACGGGTGATTGGTAGGGAGACCTGGCCCTCTGCGGTGCAGACCTGCAGCGACTTTCCCTTCTTGGGATTGGCTGTGATATAGCGGCGCAGGATGCGCTGTGCACTGCTGCCTTTGAGGCTGACAAGCACGACCGTCTTATCCAAGCTGGGCTGCATGCCAAAGGACTTAAGGACGTCAAGAATGAATCCTACCAGTTCAACAGCTCGGACTAGATCAGCCTCTTCATTTATAACCCACTGAAAAAGCCAATCATCAGCAAATGCCACGATTTCTTCAACACTTAATTTCTCTAGCAGCTTATGCATTATGATGGCCGTAAACATGCTCCAAAGGGTCGGGGCAAGACCACAACCTTGTCTGATACCATTTATAGTATCAATTTGTGCACAATTACCCGCGTACGTAAACTTCATCATGGCATGAGCGTGCAGTTGCATAATCGCCCAGGCCAGGGCTGGGTCGACCTGCGCACTCGTCAACGCGGTGAGTAGATGTTGTCGGGGCATCAGGTCAAAAGCTTTGCGCAGGTCGACACTCAAAGTAAAACCTCCTCTGCAAGGCCGTGCGGTATAGCCCTGCTTGCGCGTATGAGGAGTAGTAACCTGCGTACGAAGTACCTCCTGCGCATAGCAACAATGCGCAAAGGCTCGATCGAGCGCGTCTTGTGCCGATCTTTGATGTAAGTACGCATATTGTGGTAAGTGCTCAAGGAGTGCATCGGCCGCAGGCTGCAAACGATCTTTGAGTAAGACCGCCAGCGCTTTTGCAACTGGATGAAGAAGCGAGATCGGGCGCAGTGCCGCTGCTGTGGGAAGTTTGCCAGGCTTCAATAGTAAGAAGATGTCAGCAATGTTCCATTCATCTGGTGGCGGACTTGTCATGTCCGATAGCCACTCATTATTGAGTGGCGGAAGTAGCTTCCTGGCTAGGGAGGTGGCAGCCGATTTCCACAGCACCGCAGGCGGCAGGTGATGGGGCACCGCCTTTCCCGCAGGCAGGCATGCCAGTGCTTCGGCGAATTCAGCCTCTGTGAAGGACACCGATTGGGCAGGTGGCTGCATCTCTGGGATCGATTGCAAGGCTTGGGTATGATAGAGGTCATAAAAATACTGCTTGATTTCCTGCAGTGCTTCCCAGGACTACACGGCATGCCCTTCGCGGTGCGAATCTGCAGCTGACGCTTCGGTGTGGCCGGAGCAATTCTACGAAGTAGATGGAAAACACTATGCAGGCTTTGGGGCTGCGAGGCCGCATCCGACAGGAGCTGTTGGTATTTTGCTCTTTTCAGAGCCTGACACTGACGTCTTAGGGCAACCTGAATTTTCCTAAGTCTAGCATTGGCACTCCATAGTCGCAGAAAACACCTCAGGCCACCCCTTGACTGCATTTGTCGAACCTGAGCTCGCATTCGCCACAGCGCCGTGACAGTGGTTTGGGTTGTGCCAGCTATGGGCAAGCGGGGATTACGTACTTGAGGGTGTGGGTACGGTGTTGATTGATGGTGTCCTTTACTGTTTTCCCACGCCTGGACTAGAAGTTGCTCCGCAGGTAGATTAGGATTGACAATGTCGAGTTCAACAACCGCGGCTTGAAATCTGTCTAGTACACTGGGATCCTTACGTTGTAAGTCTAAGACGGTGCGTTGCGAAAGACTTGAACGAGGCCTGTGCTGCTTCGGCAAAACTGGCTGTCGCAGACTGTCAAGCAGTGGCAGATGCCTCATACCAGTGCAGGGCACGAAAGGTAGCAAACGCGGTCGGGTTTGACGGGCTTGCTGATCACACTGCGCAAGATTTAGAAGGGCAAAGTCAATTTGACTGTGACCCTTGTCCGTGGCCGGCAAGTAGGTGCATGCTCGTTTACCTTGGTGTGACCATGTATTCAGGGCAACTAGCTGAAAATTATCAAGCAGAGAATGCAGCATGTGCCCGTCACTGGCATGCGCGGCGGTATGATGCAGGAGGCCTCTTCCAACCAGGTTATCCTTGAGGTCTAAACTGCAGTTAAAGTCACCCAAAACTAGAACCTGGTTTCTCTTGGGTAAAGAGTTGACTAGGGTGTGTAGTTTAGCCCAAACCTCAGCTCGCTTCTCAAGGACAAGATCTTTGCTGGTTTCCTTCCCCTCTTTGGCCTTGGCAATAGACCAGGCATGTTGGTATATCACTATGACGTCAACACATGGCTCAGATAAAAGGCGGACGTGGAGAAGTCTGCCGGCAACTATCTCCTGATAGTGAACGTGATGCTCCGGAAATTTGTGCCTGGAAATCATTAGAAGAATGCCTGCCTCAGACTTAGAACCCCCACTGTGAACAACCGTAAACTTATCCCATTGATACTCCATGGCACCCTTCCAATGCGTTTCCTGAATGGCAACGAGGTCAGCTCGACATCCTGGTTCGCTACTCAGCCACGTCTTGAGTTCGGCATTGCGCTCAGCAGTTAAGCCCGAAGCATTCCAAGAAATAAAAGACAGTCTGGGTTTTATCTTTGGGGTGTGAGGTAGAGACGGTTTGGGTCGGATGGTGCTCTGGGTAACCCCAAGCTCTCCTGCACTAAACCACCTGCCTCGGTAGCGTGTGCCACCAGCTCGTGCTGCTCGTTTCTGCGCCCTAATGAAAGCTCTTTTGTGTCCTGACTTGACTGTTGCATGCAATGAATCACCGTTGTGGTTTGTCATGCCATGAAGTCTGAGATGCGATTGTGCTGTGACTTCAGGAGGATCCAGGTGGGGAGAGCCTCCAACCCTCGTGTCTGTAGACTGCACGGCTCTGCAAGGCTGAATCAGTAGGTTGCTCAATAACAGCAACATGTACAGAGTGAGTTGACACAGTCTACCCCTGGACTTGGGACCAGGGCGGCCTATCTGTTGTTGTGGGGGAGAGGCAGGATTATGAGGCTGGACTGCAATGCTTGCCACTGTTGCTGCCAAGAGGAGCTCAAGCCAAACTGTACAAAGCTTCTGTGCCACTCTCAGTCCGTTAAAAATCCAGCTCACCAATCTTGAGCAGCAAAGTTGCCTCAGCCTCTTTCGGCATCCTCGTCGTCGTGGTCGTCGTTTTCTTCTTCCATGTGCACGGCGAGGTTGGCGGTACTTTCCAGGCCTGAGATGTGTTCCCAGCTTCCCTGACCAAAGGGCTTCAGTGGCCCGAACTCGCTGCTGCCGTGGAGGAAGCTGCAGGGGTATTCTGTGCTCCATCCACCCAGTGCGCCGTCCGGCCTGAAAAACCCATGTACCATTGCTGAAATTCCCGCTGTCCGTCTTCACCGAGCAGAGGAAAAAGCACCTCAATACTCGGCTGAGATAAGCGTCGGCTTGCAATCTCAACCAAGGCTGGCGTAAGCTCCTCAGCGCACTCAGGGTCCAGTCTGGTTTGCAGGTGGGCCAACACCATTCTGGACATGTGCTGCAGGAAGACATGCTGCGACGGGTCCCCCCACTGCCCTGTCTGCTCAATCCAGTGAATATCATTCTCTTTGATGCCTCCTCGGAACAGGGCCTCCAGGGTGTGAAAATCCTTTCGCAGCTTGGCGGCGAAGGTTGCATCCAGCTGTGGAGCCACAATGGCCAAAGCTTCTCGTGGCTCACAGTCTGCTGCTATACGAGCTGGACTCCGGAGGGGATCTGGGCATACTCCGGCCCGAGGGCCCCAAAAAGGCAAGTATGCCAGTCCCCTCCAAGACGTATCCCGGCTTTCAGCGTACAGACCGCACCGAAACCATGCACAGCGGAGAGCCCCCAACTCGTAAAAGAAACTTCGGGCCGAGACACTTGCTACTACTACTACTACTATTATTGCTGCTACTGCTACTACTACTACTACTACTATTATTATTACTACTACTACTACTACTACTATTTCTACTACCTCTACCTCTACCACTACCACTACTACTGCTACTACTACTTCTACTTCTACTACTACTACTACTACTTCTTCTTCTGCTGCTGCTACTACTACTACTGCTGCTACTACTACTTCTACTTCTACTACTACTACTACTTCTTCTTCTTCTTCTGCTGCTGCTAC